AATCAGATTGATGAATACCCCAACTATCGTCATAGGGCCCTCATCCAGTAATTGATGGACCAGACAGAGATCCACAACCAAGAACCAGACAGAGCTCCGGGAATCCAGTCGAAGAGAAGGAGGAGGGAACACATGAGCAAGGGAGTCAAGATCAGGATGGAGAAATCTACACAGACAGCTGAACCAAGCTCCTGGAAACTCATGAACTCCAGACCTACAACTGTGGAGACTCCAGGGGACTGAATTAGGCCCTCCATATGCGGGAGACAGTTGTGAAGCTCGGACTAGCTGAGGAGCCCCGGGCAGTAGGACCACAATACAAACCTGGTACATGAGCTGGCTTGATGGAGCCCATTCCCTATGGTGGGATGCCACGCTCAGCCTTAATGTATGGGAGAGGGGCCTGGCCCTGCCCCAACCGAATGAGTCAGACTGTGCTGACTCCTCATGGGGAGGAGTGGACTGGGGGTGGGCTAGGGGGAGGTGAAGTGGGGTAGGAGGGAAAACTGTGGAATTTTTAAAAATTAAAAAAATAAATTGGGGAAAAAGAAAAAGAAAAAAAGAAATGACCTAGTTCACGAAACTTCCTGGTCTATATCATATCTGCCTTCCCTGGCCAAGTCAGAAGCAACTCTCCTTTGAGCTCCTACCACACACAGGGCTGTGCCTCTTACAGACAGACCTCACCTCACCCATGTTTAGGTGCAGATGTCCTGTAGACGCCCTGCCTGCATGTGTGTCTGTGTACCACACGAGTGCATTACCGATGGCGGTCATCAGAGGATGTTGGGTCCTCTAAGACTAGAGTTTCAGGTGGCTATAAGCTCCCATATGGGTGATAGGAATCAAATCTGGGTACTTCCAGAGAACAGTTTTTTCATCTCTGAGCCATCTCTCTGGGCCCAGGCTTATCAACGTATCACTGTTAATATACACGCCAGCTGTTCTGTCAAGACATAGGCTAGAAACAGGAGTGTTTCTGCACAGCTCATCTAATACAGCTCAAAAGACCAAATTCTTCTTAGCAATCAATGCAGGTCAGTAAAGATGGGCCCCCATGGCTGCAGGTCAGTAAAGACGGGTCCCCACGGCTGCAGGTCAGTGTAGCCAGTAAACTGGCACCCCATGGCACACGCTGGTACAGAGGCAGCAATGCTGGGTTCACTACACCCTTCAATCACACCTGTGCTGGTTCAAACCACAACACTTTGAATACATTACTGATTTGCGGGTCCCTTCTTACCACAGGCATGCAACACTCACGTCTTTTTGTAGGTTTTTTCGTAAGTGGGATGTACCAAATCCTCATCTTCAGGTTCTTCTGGAACTTCGCAGTTTCTAGACGAAAAGAAACCACACAAGAATGACACATCGCCAGTCCACAGCACTTTCTGCCTTTCCAGAAAGGGCACTGCCAACTATATGGTACCTGAACTGTGGGTCAGGGTTATTGTAGCAATACCATTTTTCTGGAAGTTGATCTATTCCATCTGGTAATTTTCGCCACTTTAAGCAAGCATCACACTGAACCCATGTCTGATCAGGGCGCTTCCTTTAACAAAACAAAAACAAAATATTAAAATGGAATTATGGTGTCAAGTATTTGATTTATTTTCTACATTGTTTACACATGAAATATCTGCTTATTTCCAATCTTGAAAAGTGCCTGATAAAACTGTATTTAATGTATAATTAAGTTTTTAAATGTTAGCAACTTTTATGAAGTTATGGCCACATATTCATTTTAATAGAACAAATGTCTTCTTTAATCCTAGGCCTTGGAAGGCAGAAGGATGTTAAGTGAGGTCCTGCCTTGAGACAGGGGACAGAGAGGAGTGTGGGGTCGGGGGTGAGGAGGTGAAGATGGTGCTAGTGGACATTTTAACCTCAGCACTTGGTGGGTGGCAGAGGAGGTAGATCTGGGTCTTCAGACAAAGTGGAAAGTGACGAGAACTGGGGGATGCCCTAGGAAGAGGAATACGCAGCCAGCTAGAGTGGTAACTCACTGGCTACGAGCACTTGATTTTGTCTAGAGGAACCAGGTACAAGTCTCAGCACACACTTGTCACTTACGGTGATATTCTGTTTATGATCTAACAAAGTTTGCCTGAAGGTCAGCGTGCAAAGCCTCTGACTATGACACTAGTTAGTCATAGAGGTCAGGCAGTGGTGACACACACCTTTGATCCCAGTAGACACACTAGTCAGCCATAGAAGCTGGGCAACGTTGGTGCACCCCTTTAATCCAGCACTAGAGAGGAATTTAAGGGTGGGGAGACAGCAGTGAGGTACAGTCAGTCTCAGTCATGCTGAGGACAGGATCACCCCAGCCTTGGTGGAGGTAAGAACTCTAGTGGCTGGCTGCTTTGCTTTTCTGGTACAGCTTGAACCCCAAATATATCTGTCTCTGGGTTTTTATTATTTATTCTACAGTAACTCATAACCATCTGTGACTCAACTTCCAGGGCATCTGACAGTCAGGTGGATACCAGACACTCCACATATGTAAGCAAAATACCCATATGTTTAGGTAAAAAAAATTCTGAAGACTCATTTTATATCAGATTTCCTCTTTGTTTGAGACAGGATTAACTTCCACCTATGTAAACCAGAGTGGCCTAGACTCAGAGCTTCCCTACCTCTGCCACCTGAGTACTGAATTAAAGGTGTATGTCATCACACCAGCTGGCTTCCAATTCTTCACCCTCTAGATCCCCCCCTACCCCCCCTACCCCCAGTGCTGGATCACACATCTGACTCACCAATTACATTTTCTTTGTCTGTGTTTGTGTGCACCTGTGCTTGTGGAGGCTAGAGTCTTTCCTTAGCAATACCACCCACCCTATTTTTGAGGCAGTTCTCTTGCTGGCCACGTAGGCAAGGACTCCAAGTGCATGTCCCCATGCCCAGCTATTTCACCTGGGTTTTAGAGTCTACTTGCCCTACTTGCCAGCAGCACTGTATTGCCTGAGCGCCCTCTCTCTCTCTCTCTCTCTCTCTCTCTCTCTCTCTCTCTCT